TTATATCAATTACCTTTTTTTCTTTTTCTTTTTTTTTTGTGTGACAGAGTTTGCTCTTTCGCCCAGGCTGGAGTGCAGTGGTGCGATCTCAGTTTACTGCAGGCTCTGCCTCCGGGGTTCAAGCAGTTCTCCTGCCTCAGCCTCCTGAGTAGCTGGGTTTATAGGTGTGCGCCACCACGCCCTGCTAATTTTAAAATTTTTAGTAAAGACGAGGTTTCACCATGTTGGTCAGGAACTCCTGACCTCAGGTGATCCAGCCGCCTCCGTCTCCTAGTGCTGGGATTACAGGCGTGAGCCACCAGCCCAGCCTGTTGAGTGTTTTTATTACGAAAGTGTGTTGCATTTTATCAAATGCGTTTTCTGTATTTATTGATTTGATTGTGGGTTTTTCCCCTTCATTTTGATAAAGTGATATGTTACATTGATTTCTTTTCATATGTTGAATCACCCTTGGATTCCTAGAATAAGTGCCACTTGCTCATAGTGTATAATCCTTTTAACATGCTGCTGGATTCTTTTTGTTGAGGATTTTTGAGTCTATATTCATAAGGGGTATTTGGTCTGTAATTCTTTTCTTCTTATGATATCTTCGTCTGGCTTTGTATCAAGGCACTACTGGCCCTAAAATGAGTTAATTCTTTAAATATTTGGTGGAAGTCTGGCTTGGTGGTGCATGCCTGTAGTCCCAGACTTGGGAGGCTGAGGCTAGAGGATCACTTGAGCTCATGAGTTTGAGTCCAATCTGGGCAACATAGCGAGACCCCCATCTCTTTAAAAAAATTGTAGAAGTCATGAGTGAAGCCATCTAGTTCCAGGCTGTTTCCTCTGACAGTTTTCTGATTACTGCTTTATCAATGTCTTTACTTGTTGAAATTAGATCTAGGTCAATTTAGTCTATTGAAATGTTCTGTTTTCTTGAGTTAGTTTTGGTAGTTTGTGTGATTTTAGGAATTTGACCATTTCATCTAGATTACCTAATGTTTGTTCATATTATTCTCATATCCTTTTTATTTCTGTAAGTTTGGTAGTAACATCTCTGCTTTGGCCAGACACGGTGGCTCCCACCTGTAATTCCAGCACTTTGGAGGCTAGGGCAGGTGGATCACGAGGTCAAGAATCTAGACCATCCTGACCAACATGGTGAAACCCCGTCTCTACTAAAAATACAAATACTGGCTGGGCGTGGTGGTGCATGCCTGTAGTCCCAGCTACTCAGGAGGCTGAGGCAGGAGAATTGCTTGAACCCGGGAGGCGGAGGTTGCAGTGAGCTGAGGTTGTGCCACCCTACTCCAGCTTGGTGACAGAGCAAGACTCCATCTCAAAGAAACCCAAAAAAAACGAACAAAAAAACCCAAATCTCTGCTTTCATTACTGATTTTAGTAATTTGAGTCTTCTATCCTTTTCTTCTTTTCTGTTTGGTTAATAGGTTTGTCTATTTTGTTTCAAGAGCCAACTTCTTGAAAGTTGGCTTTGTTGATTTTTCTGTTTTTTTGTTTTGAGACAGGGTCATCCAGGTTGGAATGCAGTGGTACAATCATGGTTCCCTACAGACTCAACCTCCCTGGCTCAAGCGATCCTCTCACCTCAACTTCTTCCCAAGTAGCTGGGACAACAGGCACGTGCCACCACACCCAGCTAATTTTCACATTTTTTTTTTTTTTTGAGACGGAGTCTGGCTCTGGCGCCCAGGCTGGAGTGCAGTGGCCGGATCTCAGCTCACTGCAAGCTCCGCCTCCCGGGTTTACGCCATTCTCCTGCCTCAGCCTCCCGAGTAGCTGGGACTACAGTCGCCGCCACCTCGCCCAGCTAGTTTTTTGTATTTTTAGTAGAGACGGGGTTTCACCGTGTTAGCCAGGATGGTCTCGATCTCCTGACCTCGTGATCCGCCCGTCTCGGCCTCCCAAAGTGCTGGGATTACAGGCTTGAGCCACCGTGCCCGGCCTCACATTTTTTTTGTAGAGATGGGGTCTCCCTAGTTTGCTTAGGCTGGTCTTGGACTCCTAGGCTCAAGTTGTTTTCCCACCTGGGCCTGCCAAAGTGCTCGGATTACAGACCTCACTACTTACTGAGCCACTGTGTCCAGCCACTTTTTCTCTTTTTATGGTTTATTTTTTTCTGTTTTTTAAATATTTTCTATTTCACTTACCACTGTTCTGCTAGCATATTTTTGTAAGTTTACTGGCCATTTGTAATCTTATTCTTTGAATTGCCTATTTATGGAACCTGTTTTTTGTTATTGTTTTTGTAGAATGCTTTATGTATTGTGGCATATGTTAACAGCACGAGGACCTCTGAACGATGTTGAATAATAAAGGTTTCTTTTTGGCTGTAATAGAAATGCATTTTACCATTAAATAGGATAGTATGGTTAAGAAAGTTTCTTCATCTTTCTAGTTTACTAGGAGTAAGTAATTGTGATGTATAAGTTTCCTAAAAAAATATAGTGGTATATCCGTACAATAGGATACTACTTAGCAATAAAAATGCTCACAACAGGCCTGGCCTGGTGGCTCATGCCTCTAATCAAGCACTTAGGCAGGCTGAGGCTGGCAGATCACTTGCGCCCAGGAGTTTGAGACCAGCCTGGCCAACATGGTGAAACCCAATCTCTAGTAAAAATACAAATGTGTAGGTAAGCCTGATTTGTCCTATAATCTCAAACTTCTTGCTGATATTTCTCAGTCTTATTTATCATTTCAGTTATTGGTATAATTACATGTGTGTGTGTGTGTGTGTCTGTTGAGGGAGGATATAGTAGATAGTATAATCTCTATGAATTCGGTGTAAAGAAGCAATTTTCTTTCTCCAGAGGACTGCACATTTTACTAAATTGGCTGTTTTCTAAGCCTGAACCCTTTGACTAACAGATGTAGGGAAAAGGGCTTTATAATATTAAATCAATTGCTTAGGACCAACAATGTCCTTTTTTTGTGAAAATCTGAAGGTTCTTAAAAGATGGAATACTATGACATTATCCTTGTTGATTCAAGGAGCATTCCTCAAGTAATACTGAATGTGCTGTAATTATCAGTACCTTCCCCCATCTTCTTTTTGTTGCTCTTGAATGATGTTGTCAATTATTTGACTATGTTTTGCAAATTTGGAACAGTTACTTATCTGAAAATCCTACTTTGGTCTGAGATTTTAAAATAAATTATATTGGATTTTATTCTTGTTTTATCAGCTTTCTTGGAGATGTATGGGTTTATGATTGGATAAAGTGATACCACCCACAAAAATTATGTATGCCTTTCACATTTTCAAGTGTAAGTAGCCTAATAAGTGCTAGGCTTCTCTGGTCTACTTTTGTGGAACCAGGAATAAATTAGATCTCATTGGCTGTTGATGCGATTGTTAGTTTCTTTTTATTGTTCGCTTTATTAGGAAGCATAATGGTAAATTAATGATATTTTCCTCTAAGAACAGATTAGATAATTTAAAAAATGTGATCTAATAGACTTTTTAAAGAAAATTGTATATGCTGTTTCATAGTACCTTTAAAAAACTTGTTACAAATATTTGTATTTTTAAAACCTGATCTAGGCTGGGCGCAGTGGCTCACACCTGTAATCCTAGCACTTTGGGAGGCCGAAGCGGGCAGATTACCTGAGGTCAGGAGTTCGAGACTAGCCTGGCCAACATGGTGAAACCCCATGTCTACTAAAAATACAAAAATTAGCTGGGCATAGTGGCACACACCTGTAATCCCAGCTACGTGGGAGGCTGAGGCAGGAGAATTGCTTGAGCTCTGGAGACAGAGGTTGCAGTGAGCCGAGATGGCGCCACTGCACTGTAGCCTGGCCGACAGAGTGAGACTGTCTTCAAAAAAAAAAAGTCTGATCTATGGTTTATCCACTTATGTTAGTCCTACATTTTGTTTGGGTATTTATGTATGTGTATTTAGCAGACTAGAAGACTTATGAAGTCTAGGATTGCTGTGAAAGCTCCTTACTGCTGTTTCTTTCTGTAGTTTTTTCATGACAGCTATTAAAAATGAAAAGACCTTTCTTTGTTAGTTTACATTGACGGCTCTGTTATAGCAATATTCTGAGTAGGTGCAGGGCAACCAGGATGGTGCTAATTTTTATAATAAAGTACTTTTAGAAACTTTAGTGTGTATGGAAAAGAAGCAGGTATGCACTGGATGCTGTTAACTCTAGTTTAACAATATAATGATGTATTTCAGAGTTGTCTTTGGAGGGTTCTTGTGTACTTATGTATTTTATTTTTTACTTTTTCCTGTCTTCTAACAATCCAAACAATATACATAGGTGTTATTGGATCTTCAGGTTATATGAGTTCTTCACCTTTATTCTTTTTAAACAGTTATTTTGGCTACTTTGGAGCTTTTGCCTTTTCATATACAGGCTAGAATCAGTTTGTTGATATCTACAGAAAATCCTGTTGGACTTTTGAGATTGTGTTGAATCTATGAATCATTGAATTTTTGGATCAGTTAGAAGAGAATTACCTCATAACAGTATTGAGTCATTCAGTCTATGAATACATGTCTCCATTTAATTAGGTTAACGTTTATTTCTTTCACCAGATTTGTATTGTTTTTGCTGTATAAATTCTACCCACATATTATTAGACTTATGTTTACTCAGTTTTTTTCCCATTGCTATTTTGTACATTTTTGGGATTTTCTGTATACACAATAATATTGTCAGTAAGTAGAGACAGTTTTCTTTTTTTCTGTTACGTATGCCTTTTAGTTCTTTTTCTTGCCTTATAACACTGACTAGAACTTCTAGTACAGAGTTGATTAGGGGTGATTAGAGTGGATATCATTACCTTCTTTTTTAATTTAGTTTTTACTTTTAATTTTTGTGGGTACATAGTAGGTTTATATATTTATGGGGTACATGAGATGTTTTGAAACAAGCATGCAATGCAAAATAAGCACATACGAAGAATGGGGTATCCATCCCCAAAAGTGCTTATCCTCTGAGTTGCAAACAATCCAGTTACACTCTTTTAAGTTTTTAAAAAATGTACAAATATGGAACACTTTACAAATTTGCGTGTCATCCTTGTGCATGGGGCCATGCTAATCTTCTTGTTCCAATTTTAGTATATGTGCTGCCCAAGCAAGCACCCTTTGTGTTATTTCTAATCTTTAGAGGAAAGCTTTCAGTCTTCAAGCATTAAGTATGATGTTAGCAGCAGGTTTTTTGTAGATACCTTTAATAGGTTAAGGATGTTTCTTTCTATTCCTAGTTTGAGTGTTTTATCATGAATGGATGTTGTCAGTTTGATTTTCTGCCTCTGTTTATATTTCTTCTTTAGTATATCTAGAATCGAGTATGACAATGATTTTCTAATGCTAAACCAGCCTTGCATTTCTAGATAAATCCTGCTTGATTGTGCTGTGGTGTCATTTTTATATATTGCTGAATTTAATCTCATTTTGTTGATGATATTTTGCTTTTATGTTGATGACTTTTGCTTTTATATTGGTCAGAAATCTTCAGTTTTTGTCAGTTTTCTGAAGCCATCAATGTCATGATGTTTTCATAAAATGAATTGAAGAATTTATGTAGAATTGGTATTATTTTTTTCTTTAATATTTAATGGAATTTGATAGTGAAACTGTCTAGGCCTGTAGTTTTCTTTCATATACATATGACTAATCAGGTGACTTTCTTGAGTGACTTTTTGGTAGTTTTTATCTGTCAAAATAATTTGTCCATTTCATCTGTGTTGTCAGATTTAGGAGCTTAAAGCTGTTCATTGTATTTCCTCATCTTTTTGATGTGTATAGGGTCTGTAGTGATATACTCTCTTTTGTTTGCATTATTGGTAATTTATATCTGCTTGTTTTCCTTTGTTAGTTTGGCTAGAGGCCTTTTCGTCTTACTAACTTCCTCTGCTTCCTCCGAAATAACCAATTTTTGACTTAAATTTTTTTCTCTATTGGCCTTTTGTTTTCTATTTCACTGATTTCTGTTCTGTTCTTTAGTATTTCCTTCCTTATATTTACTTTTGGTTTAACTTGCTTTTTTCTTTCTATATATATATATATACATATATATATATATATATTTTTTTTTTTTTTTTTTTTTTTTTTCTTTTGAGATGGAGTCTTGCACTGTTGCCCGGGCTAGAATGCAGTGGCGCGATCTTGGCTCACTGCAACTCCCGCCTCCCGGGTTCAAGCGATTCTCCTGCCTCAGCCTCCCGAGTACCTGGGATTACGGGTGCCCGCCACCACCCCCAGCTAATTTTTTTGTATTTTTAGTAGAGATGGGGTTAGCCAGGCTGGTCTCGAACTCCTGACCTCGTGATTTGCCCACCTTGGCCTCCCAATGTGCTGGGATTACAGACGTGAGCCACCGTGCCTGGCCTCTATATTCTTAAGATAGAAGCTTAGATTATTGATTTGAGTCCTTGTTTTTTCTAATATAGCAGTTAGTACTATAAATTTACCTCTAAGCACTCCTTTAACTGTATCCTACACATTTTATGCTGTATTTTTTTTTTTATTATTATGTTTTTTGAGACGAAGTCTCACTCTGTCACCCAGGCTGGAGTGCAGTGGGGGGATCTCAGCTCACTGCAAGCTCTGCCTCTGGGGTTCACACCATTCTTCTCCCTCAGCCTACCAAGTAGCTGGGGCTACAGGTGTGTGCTACCACGTCTGGCTAATTTTTTAGTAGAGACAGGGTTTCACTGTGTTAGCCAGGATGGTCTCGATCTCCTGACCTCGTGATCCGCCTGCCTTGGCCTTCCAAAGTGCTGAGATTACAGGCGTGAGCCACCACACCCGGCCTGTATTTTAGTTTTTATTCAGTTCATAATCTTTTTCTAATTTTCCTCAAAACTGCATTACTGACTCATGAGTTAGTTAGAAGTATGTCATTCACTTTCCACATGCAGTCATGCACCATGTAATGATGTTTTCAGTCAAAAATGGACCACACATAAAACCATGCTCCCGTAAAATTATAGTAACTGTATTTTTACTGTACTTTTTTTTTTTTTTTTTTGAGATGGAGGTGTGCTCTTGTTGCCCAGACTGGAGTGCAATGGCACGATCTCAGCTCACTGCAACCTCCGCCTCCCAGGTTCAAGTGATTCTCCTGCCTCAGCCTCCTGAGTAGCTGGGATTACAGGCGTGTACCACTATGTCCGTCTAATTTTTAGTATTTTTAGTAGAGGCAAAATTTCACCATGTTGGCCAGGCTAGTCTCGAACTCCTGACTATGGATAATCTACCCGCCTTAGCCTCCCAAAGTGCTGGGATTACAGGAGTGAGCCACTGTGCCTGGACTCTTTTTTTTTTTTTTTTTAAGGGAAGAGATCTCACTTTGTTGCCCAGGCTGGAGTGCAGTGGCTATTCACAGGTATGGTCAGAATGCACTACGACCTCAACACTCCTGGGCACAAAGTGATTCTCCTGCCTGAACCTCCTGGGTAACTGGGACTGTAGGCACCCACTACCATGTCTGGCTTCCCCTGTTTTTAGTAACTATATTAGGGGTATTAGGATGTTGTCCATTTCTTCTGTGTTTTTCAAAACTCCACATTGTTAAACATATTAACTCTTACGTAATTTTTAGACTTTTTAAAAGTGTATCTTATTATTTGAGACAAGGTCTCGCTTTGTCACCCAGGCTGGAGAGCACTGGCACAGTCTGCTCACTGCAGCCTCTACCTCCCGGATTCAAGCAATTCTCCCGCCTCAGCCTCCCGAGTACCTGGGACTACAGGCATGCACTGCTACACCTGGCTAATTTTTGTATTTTTAGTAGAGATGGGGTTTTGCCGTGTTGGCCAGGCTGGCAAGCTGATCTTAAACTCCTGACCTCAAGTGATCTGCCCACTTTGGCCTCCCAAAGTGATAGGATTACAGGTGTGAGCTACCTCGCCCGGCCCTTTTTTTTTTTTTTTTGAGACAGAGTGTCACTGTGTCACCCAGGCTACAGTGCAATGACGCGATCTTGTCTCACTGCAACCTCTGCCTCCTGGGTTCAAGTGATTCTCCTGCCTCAGCTTCCCAAGTAGCTGGGATTACAGGTGCCTACCACTGCACCCGGCTAATTTTTGTGTTTTTAAAAGAGACGAGGTTTCTCCATGTTGGCCAGACTGGTTTTGAACTCCTGACTTCAGGTGATCCACCTGCCTGCCTCCCAAAGTGCTGGGATTACTGGCGTGAGCCACCACGCCCGGCCTTTTTTATTTATTTATTTTTAAATTCTTACAGATGTACTTCCCGCTTTCATACCAAGTTTATCTGTTTTTTATTATTTTTGGTGTCTTTTACTGTGTTTCCTCCTCTCAATTTTTCTTTTTTATATTGTCAAATATGGTTTTTTCTTACTGCTTTGCATGTAGATCATAGATAAGTTTCTTCATACTGGTTACAAAGAAATTTACTCATATTTCCTCCCAGTACTTGTGTAGTTGCTTTTTTTATATTTGTGTATCTGATCCCTGTGTAATTCTGATGTTCAGTTTGAGGAAGAGGTATGATTTTTCTCTCATATGGCTATTAAGCTCTCCTAACAACACATTTTTATCAAATCAATCCCTTCCCCATTGATTTGAGATGCCTTTTTAAGCCATTTAGCAGTTATGTTTATGGTAAGATATGTGATAGGCATATAGCCTTTTTTTTTTTTCCAAATGGATTGTCAAGTTTTCTCAACCTTTATTTCTTCTCCTTTAACTGTGTGTGTTAAATTCCAAGATAGACATACATGGGTTTGTTTCTGGGTCTTTTAGGTTATTAATTTCCTTGTCTTTTTGTTTTAGTATTTTACTCTTGTGATGATGATAGTATTGTGTTATCCTTTGGTCTTTGGTAGAACAAGTATATCAATTTCCTAATTATTTCTTGTCTCTCTGATTTTCTGGAAGTTGTTATCTTGCATTTTCTCTGTTCTTAATAACTTTAATGTGTTTGTATATCTTAGTCTTATGCATGCTGTTTGTTCTATAAGTATTTATGGAAATGAAATCATTTTTAGGAATTACATAGAAGAGAATTAAGTATATTGTTTTATTCAGCAATATTTATATAATATTAACTGTAGATGGTAAGGGGTAGAAGCTGGAGAGATGATACAGAAATAAATCAGACACGCTGTGCCTGCTTGTTTAGGAAAGAGAGAATTAAATAATTGCAATATAGCATGGTAAATGCTGCAGGATGCGTTGGAGGCATAAAGGGAGAGTGACCAACTCTTCCTAATAGAGTTAAGATTTTGCAAACATTGTGACATTCAATCTAAATCTCGAAAGACTTTGAGTGGGAATTTGTTAGGTAGATAAGAAAGAAGATGCAGATCATGGACCCAGTTAGAAAATTTTAATGTAAAATAATTCTTCTAATAAGGGTACTAAAACTTATTCAGAATTCTTAAATACAGTCTTAAGTAACACTGAAATTTGTTTTTTTAAATAGGTTGATTAATAGAAAATTTATACTTTGTATGGAATTTAGTTCAGCCTACTCAGTTTAGGAATGAGAAGTTAAGTGACTTTGCTGTGGTCACATATTCTTGGAAGAACTGTGATTGAGACTGCTCCAGGGAACTTCTAGAACAGAGAAATTGGTAAAAGTATATGGGGCAGCCTTGGATATATATTAGAAATTGAATGCAAATTAACAATATATCTTTTTATTGCAGTGTAGTGTTAATTTAGGGAGGTACAAAAGATATATAAATGTATTTTATATAGTTACAAAGAAGTTTTCTAGTAAGAATTAAAATTGCTTCAGTTACTTGACAAGAATTGGATGGAGCTGTTTTTTTCTCTTAAAAGTCTGATGAAATCAGGCCAGGTGTGGTGGCTCATACCTGTAATCCCAGCACTTTGGGAGGCCGAGGCAGGCGGATCACTTGAGGTCAGGAGTTTGAGACCAGCCTGGCCAACATGGTGAAACCCTGTCTTTACTAAAAATACAAAAATTACCTGGGGGTGGTGGTGCGTGCCTGTAGTTCCAGCTACTTGGGAGGCTGAGGCAGGAGAATTGCTTGAACCTGGGAGTTGGAGGTTGCAGTGAACTGAGATTGTGCTATTGCACTCCAGCTTGGGCAATAGAGTGAGACTCCGTTTCAAAAAAGGAAAAAAAAAAAGCCTGATGAAATCAATTTTGGAGTTTTTAAAAATTGCTGAATTTGAGCAAGTTAAAATAAAATAGCTAACACTTACTGTAGTGCTTATTATGCCAGAGTATTACTCTATGCTTTGATTTATTAACTCATTTAACCCTCCCGATTACACTATGAAGTAGATTATTTCCTCCTTTCTTCCTTTCCCTTTCCTTTCCTTTTCCTTTTCCTTTTCCTTTCTCCTTTCCTTTCCTTTCTTTCATCTAACAAACAGGGTCTCTCTCTCTCTCTGTTGCCCAGGCTGGAATGCCATGGGGTGATCACTCACTGTAACCTCAAACCCCTGGGCACAAGTGATCTTCCCGCCTCAGTCTCCCAGGTAGCTTAGGACTATAGGAGCACACCACACCACCTAGCTAATTTTGTAATTTTTTGTGTGGGAAGATCTTGCTGTGTTGTCCAAGCTGGTCTCGAGTTCCTGACCTCAAGTGATCCTCGCACTTTGACCTCTCAAAATGCTTGGATTACAGGTGTGAGCTTTCACACCTGGCCTATATTCATTTTACAGATTAGGAAAATGATATTACCTAATTTCAGAACTAGTGTTGCTGGAATTCCTATCTGGCAGTGTCATTCCAGAGTCCAGGTTCTGAAGCCTCTTAGTTATGACATCCAGTTTTGTTTTGTTTTGAGACAGGATCTCACCCTGTTGCCCAGGCTGGAGTGCAGTGGTGTGATCATAGCTCACTGCAACCTTGACCTCCTGAACTCCAGTGATCCTTCCGCCTTAGTCTCCGAAGTAGCTGGGACTATAAGTGCATGACACCACTCTTGACTAATTTTTTAAATTTATTTTTTTAGAGACAGGGTCTCACCATATTACCCAGGCTGCTCATGAACTCCTAGTCTCAAGCGATCCTTCTGCTTTGACCTCCCAAAGAGCTGGGATTACAGGCATGAGCCACTGAGTCTGGCTATGACAGCCAGTGTTAAAACTGGGTAATCTGATATAAAGGAATTGATAGGACAACTGCCAGGAAATTTTGTGGTTATCTGTATTTCTACTTATTTAATGAAACAGAGTTGATAAAGGGCATACTTTAATGTGAATCAGGTGAATCAAGTTTATGGCGAAACAGTTGTCTGTGTGAAATACATTACTTTCTCCCACTGTATTTTTCTCTGAATGTCTGTTAGAGTTGATTAATACACTGGCATATGGTATCTGAACAGAAAAGGAAGCTTCCTGTTGTTAAAAATACTGTGGGCACGTCTTGAGTTATTATGTATTTTTAAAATAGTCTCTTTTATATTCTCTATTGATGAGATAAGTGCATCAGAAGGGGATAAATTTTTAAGTATTGACTTAGCAAGCCTCCCAAGGTACAAAGATTATCTCATTTTTTTAAAATGCTGTATAGTAGGAATCTGTTTTTGAAGTACCATAGGTGTTTATGATGATGAAACAGGTTTAGGAGCTACTGCAGTAGTATCCACACTGCCTTTTCAGTGAAATTTTAGACACGAGAGAAATTTGTAGATCAGTATATGACCTTATACTAATTATTCTTAGCAGTTTTTGCCTTTTCTGATTTTTTTTTTCTATTTTTCTACAGTAGTTTATGTCAACGTGACTTCATTCATACAGATGAACCAAGGATCGGGATAGCAGTATAAAATTAGAATCAGACAGCTGACTGCTCAGCAGGATGCCATCAACTAACAGAGCAGGCAGCCTGAAGGACCCTGAAATTGCAGAACTCTTCTTCAAAGAAGATCCAGAGAAGCTCTTCACAGATCTCAGAGAAATTGGCCATGGAAGCTTTGGAGCAGTGTATTTTGTAAGTGTTAATGGCTTGATTTTAGTGACCAGCATTTACTTAATGTGCGCTCCTGACAGAGCAAAATACAGTAATGAAAAGCGATATAGGCCATAGTCATTTTATAGTCACTTGCATAGGTGGGGTGGAGAGAGAGAGAGAGAGAGTGAGAGCATGATTGAGTGAGAGTGTGTGTGTGTGTGTGTGTGTGTGTGTGTAAGATTCAAATATGAAAATAGTTTTATTTATTGAACTACTTGGATTATTGAAAAAATGAGAAAGAATATTATTTTGTGGGCCAGGCTTGGTGGCTCATGCCTGTAATCCTAGCACTTTGCAAGGCAAGGTTGAGTGGATCGCTTGAGCCCAGGAGTTTGAGACCACCCTGGGCAACATGGTGAAACCCTGCCTCTACAAAAAATACAAAACTTAGCCAGGTGTGGTGGTGCACACCTGTAGTTCCAGGTACTCAGGAGGCTGAGGCTGGAAAATCACCTGAGCCCAAGAGGCAGAGGTTGCAGTGAACCGAGATTGTACCACTGCATTCCAGCCTGGGTTACAGAGCCAGATCCTGTTGCAAAAATAAATAAACAAATGCATAAATAAATAGAAAGTAAGAATAAGAAAAAAAAATTATTTTGCTTTAACTTATGTGTTACTTTTTTAGAATTCTTAGCACACCTTTTTTATGAGTCTCATGGCTTGCATTGCTATAGAGTTAAATACTGCAAAACATAAACTTTGACTGATTTCTACTTCCATAAAGTCCCATTCAGAGTCAATCTTAGTCTTGTGGAGGTCTAGGATTATTATTTGACAGATATACCAAAGTCTGTTTCTTTTATATGCATTTGTATGTGTGCATGTGAGTTAAAAAAAATTATCAAATTTGCTATTTTAATTATCTTTTAACATTGGCACAAACATTACCACCATCTACTTCTAAAACATTTTCATCACCCGAAATAGAAACTCTGTATCCATTAACAGTAACGCCTATTTCACCCTCCACCCAGCCCCTGGTACCTGTAATCTCCCTTCATCTCGATGAATTTGCTTAGATATTTCTAGATATTCATAGAAATGGAGTGAAACAATATTTATTCTTTTGATTTCTAGCTTATATTATTTAACTGATTGTTTTTGAGCTTCATCCATATTGCATTATGTGTGAGAACTTCATTCTTCTTTATAGCTGATAATATTCCATTGTATGTATAAACCATAATTTGTTTATGCATCTGTTGATGAACATGTGGGTTGTTTTCACTTCTGACTAGTGTGAATGATGCTGCCATGAACATTGATTGATGTGTATCTTTAGTCCCTGTTCTCAATTTTGAGTATGTACCTAGGAGTGGATTTGCGGGTTCCTACAATATTCTGTGTTTGTTTGTGGAACTGCCAAACTGCACCACAGCAGTTGCACCATTTCCATTCCCACCAGCAATGTATGAGTGTTCCAGTTTCTTTACGTCCTCAACAGTGCCTTTTGTTTTCCATTATTTTTATTATAGCCATCCTACTAGATGTTAAGTGATATCTCATTGTGGTTTTGGTTTACATTTCCCTAATGACTGATGATGTTGAGCATCTTTTCCAGTGCCATTTGTAGATCTTCTTTGGAGAAATGTATATTCCTTTTCCCATTTTTATATTTGGGCTGTCTCTTTCTTGTTGAACTGTAGGGGTTCTTTGTTTGTTTGTTTTGAAAAGGAGTTTTGTTTTTCTTGCCAAGGCCGGAGTGCGGTGGCGCAATCTCGGCTCACTGCAACCTCCGCCTCCCAGGTTCAAGCGATTCTCCTGCCTCAGCCTCCCAAGTAGCTGGGATTACAGGCACCCACCACCATGCCCGGCTAATTTTTGTATTTTTAATAGAGACAGGATTTCACCATGTTGGCCAGGCTGGTCTCAAACTCCTAACCTCAGGTGATCCACCCGCCTTGGCATCCTAAAGTATTGGGATTATAGGCATGAACCACCATGCCCAGCCAGGGGTTTTTAGTGTATTCAGGATATAAAATCTTTATCAGATATATGATTTGCAAGTATTTTCTCCCATTCTGTAGTTTATTTTTTTTACTTTCTTGATAATTGTCTTTTGATACACAGGAGTTTTAAATTTTGATGAAGTCCAATTTTTTTGTTGTTCCTTATGCTGTTGGTGTCATGTTTAAAAATATATTGCCAAATTCAAGATCGTGAAGATTTATTCTTATGTTTTCTATGAAGAGTTTTATGGTTTTAGTTCTTTTTTTTTTTTTTTGAGGCAGAGTCCCACTCTGTCGCCCAGGCTGGAGTGCAGTGGTGTGATCTCGGCTCACTGCAAGCTCCACCTCCTGGGTTCACGCCATTCTCCTGCCTCAGCCTCCCCCAGTAGCTGGGACTACAGGCTCCTGCCACCAGGCCTGGCTAATTTTTTGTATTTTTAGTAGAGACGGGGTTTCACCGTATTAGCCAGGATGATCTTGATCTCCTGACCTTGTGATCCGCCCGCCTCGGCCTCCCAAAGTGCTAGGATTACAGGCGTGAACCACCTTGCTTGGCCGGTTTTAGCTCTTATATTTAGGTCATTTATCTATTTTGAGTTAATTTTTTTTTTTAAATAAGGCAGAGTCTTACTCTGTCGCCCAGGCTGGAGTACAGTGGCGCAGACTTGGCTCACTGCAACCTCCACCTCCCGGGTTCAAGCAATTCTTATGTCTTAGCCACCCAGTTAGCTGGGACTAGAGGCACATGCCACTAACCCTGGCTAATTTTTGCATTTTAGTAGAGATGGGGTTTTGCCATGTTGGCCAGGCTGGTCTCAAACTCCTGACTTTAAGTGATCCTCTTGCCTTTGCCTCCCGAAGTGCTGGGATTACAGGTGTGAGCCACCACACCTGACCTGTTTTGAGGTAGATTTTTGTTTTTGTTTTTTTGAGACGTAGTGTTGCTCTGTTGCCCAGGCTGGAGTGCAGTGGTACGTTCTCGGCTTACTGCAACCTCCACCTCCCGGGTTCAAGCAATTATCCTGCCTCAGCCTCTTGAGTAGCTGGGATTACAGGTGCATGCCACCACACCCAGCTATATTTTGAGTTAGTTTTTATATATGATGTGAGGTAGAGGTCTAACTTCATTCACTTTGTTTTTTTGTTTTTGTTTGTTTGTTTGTTTGTTTTTTTGAGACAGGGTCTGTCACTCTGTTGCCCAGGCTGGAGTGCAGCAGAGTCATTATGGCCCACTACGTCCTCAACCTCCCTGGGCTCAGGTGTTCCTCCCACCTCAGCCTCCAGAATAGCTGGGACCACAAGTGTACACCACCAGGTCCAGCTAAGTTTTTTGCTTTTTTTTTTTTTTTGGAAATGGGGTTTTGCTATGTTGCCCGGGCTGGTGTTGAACTCCTGGGCACAAGCAGTCCACCCACCTTGGCCTCTCCAAAGTGCTGGGATTATAGGTGTGAGCCACCACACCTGGCCCCAACTTCATTCTTTTGTGTGTGTAAATCCAGTTTTCCCAGTACATCTGTTAAAGAGACTGTTATTTCCCCCATTGAATTATCTTGGCATCCTTGTCAAATCAGTTGATCATATTTCGTACATTAATTTCTGATCTCTTAATTCTGTTCCGTTTATCTATATGTCTTATCTTTCTGTCACTACCACACCATTTTGATGACTGCAGCTTTGTGATAAGCTTGAGATCAAGAGGTTTTATTCCTCCAACTTTGTTATTCTTCTTAAGGTTTGTTTTAGAGCTCCTTGAAATTTCATATGAATTTGAGGATTGGCTCTTTCTTTTTTTCTTATTACCACTTTCCCGTTGACATGGCTTTTTTATTTTTGCAAAAAAAGACTTAGAATTTTGATAGGGATTGAGTTGACTCTATAGATCACTTTTTGTAGATCTATAGATTACTATGATAATATTAAGTCTCTAATCCATGAACATAGAACGTCTTTCTAATCTAAATTAAAGATATTCTATTTATATCTTTAATTTCTTTGAGCATTATTTTGCATTTAGTTATAAATGTTTCACCTCTATGCAACTTACTCTTAGGTGTTTTTTTTTTTTTTTTTTTTAGAGATGGAGTCTCACTCTGTTGCCCAGGTTAGAGTGCAGTGGCACGATCTCAACTCACTGCAGCCTCCGCCTCCCAGGTTCAAACAATTCTCCTGCCTCAGCCTCTCAAGTAGCTGGGACTACAGGCACATGCCAGCACGCCCAGCTAATTTTTTGTATTTTTAGCAGAGATGGGGTTTCACTGTGTTAGCCAGGATGGTGTTTTTTTTTTTTTTTTTTTTTTTTTTTTTTTTTTTTTTTTTTTTTGAGACAGAGTCTTGCTTTGTTACCCAGGCTGGAATATAGTGGTATGATCTTCACTGCAACCTTTGCCTCCCAGGTGATTCTCCTGCCTCAGCCTCATAAGTAGCTGGGATTACAGGCACACACCACCACACTCGGCTAATTTTTGTATTTTTAGTAGAGATGGGGTTTCACCATGTTGGCCCGGCTGGTCTCGAATTCCTGACCTCAAGTGATCCGCCCAAGTGATCTGCCTGCCTCAGCCTCCCAAAATGCTGGGATTACAGGTGTGAGTCATTGCACTTGGTTATTCCTGGGTATTTTATTCTTTCAGATGCTAGTGTAAGTGGAATTACTTTCTTAATTCCGTTTGAAATTGTTCATTGCTGATGTATAGAAACGTAGCTGTTTTTTGTATCTTCATCTTGTACCCTACAACTCTGCTGAGTTTGTATGTTCTAGTATCTTTCTGTTTAACTCTTTGAAATTTCTACATACAGTATTATATCATTTGCAAATGGAGATGGTTTTACTTCTTTCTTTGCAACTTGAATGCCTTTCATTTTTCCTGTCTTAATACCCCGGGCTAGAACTTTCAGTACAGTGTTGAACAGCCGTGGTGAAAGTGAGCATGTTGTCTTGTTCCTGATGTTAGTGAAAAAGTCTTTTTAGCCTTTTACTATTGAGTATGGTGTTAGTACTGGGTTTTTAATAAATAACCCTTTATCATGTTG